TATAGTAGTTGGGGAAGCAGCAATATGTTTTCATAATATATGGTAAAATACAACTGCCTTTTTCATTCTAATAGTTTAATACTTTTTGGAACAAGTCTATGAAGTACTCTCAGAAACAAGCTCTTTCTTTGACCTCTTCTTCTAAAATGTGAAGTGACCCAGTGTTATAAACCCTATAAACTCTATTAACCCTCATTATGATAATTAACCTTGTTATAAAGAACCTCTCTATGCAACATAGGGTGTGCTTGCCTCCTGGGGCTGCTTTTCAAATGATAAGGAGGGAACAGTGAAAACAGAACTCCATTGAACCTGGCAGGTGTTCAAAATGGAAAGCAAAGGTCAACAAAGTTTGATGTAGAAAGTACTTACTAAAGCTGGATACCCAAAGGAAAAAAATTGAGCAAATAGAAGGGAATCATCAATAACTCTAGCTAACAAAACATAATCTGTAACTAGCAGTTTTAACAACAAATTGTTCCATATTGTATTGGCCTGCAAGTAAACTTATCTTACTTTGAATTTTAATTTCAGCATGGCTTCTAACAGAGTTTGCCCACTATGCCAGCTTTCTAAGAATACAACTAAGTTCCTTGTTTCTGCTCCTGGCAGAGATAGCCTGCTGAAGAGAAGGGAAGACACAAGTGCTCAACTCAGAACAGGTGTCAGTGCGATGTTAATTATCCATCTCTAAATATAGTTTGAACAACTGCTCTTAATTATTTTAGTAGAACATTTAGTAGAACATTTTAGTAGAACATCCATGCTTTTAGTTAATTTGCTATGCTATTCTAAACATATTCATACACATTCTAGGATGCTCCAGTGCAAAATGAGATGTATAAAGTATTGATTTATTTTAAAGCTTTTAGCTTTTCTTTCTTGACACCCTGCTCTCACAAGGGAGTTAACAAGATGATATAATCAAATGAATAAAATATAGCAGTAGATAAGCATTTTGATATTAAGTCTAAAATGTTGAACAGAAAAAGTATTTAAAGATTACAGTGATAGGAAAATATTTCCTAAGGCATAGGGCCACCAAAGAAAAAACATTGTCTTGGATGTCTACTATCAAGGGGTTTTATGATGGATCAGAGCATAAAAAGGGTAACAGATTAACAGAGTTGGGAGGGACCTTGGAGATCATCTAGTCCAACCCCCACCCAAGCAGGAGACCCTACATCATTTCTGAGAAATGGCAGTCCAATCTCTTCTTGAAAGCCTCCAGTGATAAAGCTCCCAAAACATCCGAAGGCAAGCTGTTCCATTGGTTGATTTTTCTCACTGTCAAAAATTTTCTCCTTATTAGGTTGAATCTCTCCTTGATCAGTTTCCACCCATTATTCCTTGTCTGACCTTTGGGTGCCTTGGAAAATAGGTTGACCCCCTCGTCTCTGTGGCAGCCCCTCAAATATTGGTCTAAAATATAATAATTGATACTGATTTTAATGCTGCTAGAGATTGAAGTAAATACAGACCATCTTTCAATTTACATGGTCTGAAATATTTTTTAAAGAAAACCAGCATTTTCCCTTACCAGCATTTTGCATTTTGCCTACAGGCAAACAGGTCTCCAATATAACGAGTGTTGAATAGATATAATAAAATCCGAGTAACTAGCACCCACAAATATTCCTCCTGCCAATTGTAGCCTGTAAACTAACTTTAACAGCAGTTCATTATGTATCATATTACAGTAACCTTTTGTAGACATTACAAATACTTATGTCACTATAGTTAAATCAGCTTTCTCTAGATAGGATAGCAGTTGTCAAGTTGCTTTAGCCTAATAGGAAAAAAAAATACTGTCATTTCCATATCAGATCTACGTGTATATCAAGACTAGGTACCTGACCCTTTAATAAGGAAGATGATTCCATTTGGTTCATCAAATATCCAATTGATAGTATTTTTACATAGATTGTTACATATTTATTAGACTGGAGTAGGAAAGCAACCTGCATCTACTGTATGGCTGCAAATACAAAAATGCAAAAATTCTGTAGAGACAGAGGAAATTCAGATGCAAAAATTCTGTAGAGACAGAGGAAATACCATTGGTTTCTTCCAGTGGCCAGCTAATTGGCATGATCTATTGACTATCTGAAAACAGATTCTTGGTTTTCTGCTGCCATTAGTGGTGGACACAAAGCACATTTTTTTCTGACAGGCAACTGATTAGTCTGACTATGGTGACTGTGGAATAGGTTAGATGAGCTTTGCTCAAGCACATTAGTGGTGCAGTTGAGAAGAAAATGGAAACACTTTATGAAAATGAGACTCAAGCAGAATACATCATCCTTTTTTCTCCTTATTATACTAGGCTGTAGGAAAAATCCAGCCATCCCTTTGTGATATGTATGTTCTTTTCATACAAACATAACCGGGAGTTATTAAATTAAATTATTTGCTCATCTTGTCTAGTATAAATCTTTGTTTTGTTCTCCCATAAGCATCTTGAAGAACAGTATGACCTTCAAAGAAATCTCACCTCAGTACTTCTATGAATGATAGCCTTTGTGTCTGCTGCAGAAATGGTTATCCTTTGAGGGGGTAAAAAAATAAAATAGAAAAAATTGAAGGGAGGGCATAGGTTGATTTAGAATATGCAAGTTTCCAAGAAAATACTTTTAATATGTTCATCTATGTATCAAAGTTGAGTAGTAATGAAAATATTGTTTGTATAATTGTTTCTTGGTAGCACGCTTGAAAATTTTAGATGCAAAAAGTGCTTTAAAGAATGCATTGACCAACAGGTGTTTATTAATATATTTCAGAGGAGGAGGAAGAAGAACTGGACAGAAGAGTTTTAATAACATAATGGTGAAGATGCTATTATTTGCCTAAGGGAAATATTTGCTTGCTTGCTCGTCTACTGGAACTGTTAGTATTCAAGAAACCTAGACTTCATCTCTTGTAAACTGCATTGGAAACTGCATTGGAAGAAGGAATTCAGAGTTACAAAATATATTTTACAGGTTATTATATTAAAGCCACTATGGTATAATGCATATCTCAATTCCCCTCGGCAGAATGTTGAGCACCTGATACCCATAGGAGTACTTCCCTCAAATGCACAGTTCAAAACAATCAGGATTTATACTACTTCAAAAAGTATTGTAGAATGTACTTCTTCAAACAAGGCAAATACTGTGTTGGAGGGGAGGGGTGACTACTCCAGGCAAAATTTTAATATAGGTCAAGATATTAAAATGTACCCAAATCAATTCATATGTTTGCAACTTTAAATACTTATAAAATCTGATTCTCTGGGACATTTTTAACACCAATATTTTCTGACTGTTGGGTAAAAAACCAGCCCAGTGAACACACATGTTAATGTCTTGAGCCTTTTTTTGTTGTTGGAAAGAAAATTATACAAAGCAACTGGCTGAAATCTGGACACCATGTTCAGTATGGTATATAATAGTATGTAGGTATGCCTACATACTATTGCCTTGTAGAATGTCTACCCTACAGTTTAGACTTCAGTATAAATTCTGAAATGAAAGAGTTTCAATATGTATATTCCCAAACTTCCAGATACTAATAACATTCCAGCAAAATATTTCCTGCCACAGGATTATCCAGAAGCGGAAAAATGTTTTTACAGAAATGTAAACATGTTTGTGTATCTTGAAACATTTCTTGAACATTTTGAGGGTTATTTTATTAAAGAATAATTCCACCTATTGAGGGGAAACATATGCAGAGAGTTATCCCTGGATACCTAAGACTCCAATTTACTCTTGATGATACTACCATGGGAGCTCTCCATGGTGCAAGAGATCCCTCAGTAGAATATACATATATTCAAAAATAGAAAGCCCCTTTGATACCAACCAAAAGCAAGTGTCTTCCTATCTAAGGTAATGAAAAGATTGGATTTATCTATCTCAAGTAACGTAACAAAGGCTTCTTTGAATTTTGTATTTGAATTCTGTATGGAATGCTCACCCTAACTGAAAAATTCTTTCAGAGTTTTTTTTCTTTTTCAGAAAATCGATTTCTAGGAATTTAAGTTTTCCGCTTTGTTAGCAACTGGGGAAATAACAAGCCATAAAATTATGTCAGTAGGAAAAGTTCCCCCCACAATGATGATTTTTGGGGGAAGAATCAGTCAATCAGTTAATTAATCACAAGTATTGAAAACCTTTGTACATATTCTTCTGAAATTTTTTATGCTCCTCTTGCAAAATGCAAGGACAACCTGCACATTTTTTTTTTTTTTGCAAGGGATACATACATTAGTTCAATAACTGACAATTACCTTCCCCACTTCACTGATTCCATCTGCAAAATGAAAATTGGGCCAGAAAAACAGTGTATGGCTACTTCCATTTTGCAGATGGAAATAAATGAGGTGCAGACGTTTGATTTCCAATTAATTTTGCCTACCATTTTAAATAGTGACAATAAATATATTCCCAGGATTGGTTAATTTTAAGAGCTGGCAGAATGAGAAGTTTGTCTGTTAAGTCTGAAGTTCTACATATCTTTGGACTTACCTAACTTTACCATTATATTCACAAAGGAAAGACAGGAAAATTTGTCACTCACTCTGTGTGTGTATGTGTGTGTATTTATATGCACTAGAAAAGAAGTGTTTGGAGGGCACAAAGAAAAATCACCAATAAAGGCAATAGTGCAATCTCTGCTTAGACCTTAATATAGTGCTATTAATTACTCAGGAAGTGATCTCTACAAAAAAGTTTTTAAAAACAGAATAGCTAGACCCAAGCAACTAAATTATGTATATCTCTTAATAAAACAACACTGAAACAAATGAGATACCAAAATTAGATGGCAACTTAATACTTTCTGCATCAAATGCCTAGGATAGTAATATTTAGAATTCTTGTATTCATTTAGTAAACATTATATCAGCTTCACACACACGCACACACACTATCTTAATACCTCTTCCTCTCGGCAGTGGAGCCCAAGGACTCTCTTCAGATGTTTGGTCTTCAGCCCATGCCTGTCCATAAACCTACCTGTTTGTAGGCATCTAGGAGAAAGCTATTCCAGACGCAGCGTAAGCCCTCTGATGTGAGCATCCTTCGCCATTCGCCACGTGCAGCCTTGGAGCAACTCAGAAGAAGCACCATGTGCTTCAAGAGGACCACCGAGTCATAGAGGGCGAGGAAAAGGCAGTTGGAGAAAAAAACCGGCAGGATCTGAAGTGTGATCAACAGGTCAATGCTTAACAAGCCCATCTTGCTTGCTCTTCTTCAAAGGGTTCCTCTGAGTTCCCTTTTCATACCCTGTGTGCCCTCATGAAAAACAATAATAAAAATAATAAAACATAAGGGGCTTTTTAAAAATTCATAGTGCTTCGTTAGCTCTCTTTCAGAGTTGGCTCAGTTCTCACTTCAGTAGAGCCACTTAAAAGAAAAAGAAAAAGGGAAGCACCACGCCACCCTGAGCTGCTTTTAATTTTTCAAAAACTCTAACTTAAACTACTGTTGTTTTTACTTAGCCAGAAGCCCTTTGCAGTCCTCTAAACAGAGAGAGAGAGAGAGGGGGGGGGGGGGGGGGGGAGAGAGGGAGGGAGAGGGAGAGAGACAGCTGGGCTGCCAATTGCCTGTAATTCTAAAATTGAAATGGAACAGGCTAACTTTCCTCTAATTTTCTCCTACTTCAGTAGTTTTCTCATTCTTTTATTACCGGAGCTATCAGGTGAAATAATACTTTTTTTTCTGTCAAAGGACGGCTGTAGAGGAAAATCTTTGCACACAAACTTTCTGCTCTTCCCTCGCTGGCTGGGCTGCCTCTGCTCAGCCTCTCTCCCTACCACTCTTCCGTTTCTCTGCCTCTCGCTATCTGCCTGTGGTACAAAGTGCTTTTCCTCTGGAGTCCTCGCTTGGTTCCCTCAAGCCTTTTATACATTCCCTGGCTAATTGCTGCAATAGAGAAATGAAACCCTAATCTTAGTAAAGATCTTGACGTCAATGTAAAAGAGGGCTTTACTTTGGCCAGGACTACAGTGAATAGAAAAGTAAAATTCTCAAAACTTTCTCTCTCTCTCTCTCCCTCCCTCCCTCCCCCTCCCTCTCTCTTTTTTAGAACAAGAAAGGAGGGGGAGGGAAGAATGTTGCTTTGTTATTCCAAAATAAAAAATAAAAATCCACAAACTAGATACCTCAAATGCACATTTCTCTGTCTTTTACACTTGCTTTCAAACTTTGGGAAAGCATGTTCAAATGACAGAGAGTGACACAGAAAAAGGGTATACTATTATTTAGAATTTCTTTCTTTCTCTCACTTTTATGGCTTTCCCCCATTATTATTTTGCCCTTTGTATTTTCCAAGAAGGTGTAAAGACTGATACATTCTAGAAAAGGACACATTTTGGTGCATTTCCCTCCCACAACTATCAACTACATCAGTGTGAGCTGTTTTAAATATCTTTTGTTGTCTTCTTGGTATTTAAGGAAACACAAGAAACTCCCAGTCTGACTTCATCTGTTAAAATAAGAGAATAAAAGAACAGGAAAGAGAAGAGCAATTTTAAACTGAGCATTGACTAATACTTTATTTCAAAGGCAGCATTGTCATTCCTTCTAGATTAAATGCTTCAAAAATGCTATTTTATCATCTTTTAATTTATCTTCACCATGGCTGTTTCCTTCTTTACTTAAAAACAAACATACAAACTTACAAAGCTAAGGTCTCTGGAAAAGTGACCTGTGGAACTCAGATTATTTTGGACTTCTCTTGCATCAGGATAAAATCTGTTAGCGGAATCCTCCTCAGTGTAGCTGTGGAAACCTGGCTCTAGGTATCTAACAGTGTCAGATAACAGTTGGCTCCACCAACATACCTCCCAAAAGTTTTGTTATAGTGAATTGCCTTCTTCTTTGAAGCAATAGAATGGCCTTTTTAAAAACTAAGCCCATATAAAAAGGGTGGAATGAATTCTTTGGGTGGTTCACCTGAACAGGCTAATATTAGTTTTCCCTCTTCGGGGTCGCGGTGGTTCACATGGTACTGTTGGGGTTGGCAGCTTGGTGGTTCGATTCCCCTGAGCAAATAAATCATGTAGAGACAAGAAAGGAGCCTCCCCCAAATGTTTACCAACATTAAAGCATCCCATGGGTAAAGATAACACCGCCCGAAAAAAATCCTTACACAGAGGCAGCCACCTCAGGGATTCCTGGCTAACACGTGCCATATGCTAAATAAATAAATAAGTTTTCCCTCCATCATCCATGTCTTAGATCTATCTATTATTATACTTTACTATGGTATAGTAAATACCATAGTATTTATGGTATAAATACTGTATATTCTAAACAAGTTTTATGCCACATGTAGCCCTGTAGCATTCTCAGAAATTTAACTTTAAAACAAGATTACTATTGATACCTTGGGACTGAAAGGCAGTTAGATCTGTACATTCACTATGAAACTATGATTTGGACAATAGAACCATATTCATTTACCAACCCATCCAAACCCATCATAAAACAGACCCATCATAGAACAGTATCTCAACATCTATAAGAATCAAACACTAGATCCACCCAAATGCTAAACATAAAATACAAAATGCATTCACTACCACATATATCACTGCATATTTCCAGGAGTGTTTGTGAGCTGTTTCCTCTTGAAAATTACATTCAAATAAACATAATTGAATCATAATTGAATAAAGATCATTTCAATCTGATACTGAAAGGGAATCTAGAACAAAAGAACAACAATGTCAAAGAGACTTGGCATACTTTATCAGATTGAACTGGGTTTCTCCCTTCATATGGTTGTCTCTCAAACCACAACCATTCTGACCAATTGAACATAAGGGTAAAATGTTTATTGGAGAGAAGGAGTAACAAGTATGCCTAATTCCCAGTACTGTTAAGATAGTCAGAAGAGGATTGGACAAAGGACTCTAGCATGCACAAAACTTTGCCTCAAAACTTATGGGTAGCCCTATGCCAATTACTATCTTTCTCTAAGATGCTTTACAGGATTGTTGTGACAATAATCCATAGGAAAAGATAAAACTATATATGATGCCCTGAGCAACTTAGGATATAAAATCTACCCATCAATCAATCAAAATAAAGTCAGTTTATTAAATAAAGGCTAAGAGGGCATTCCAGCTGAAAGATTCATTGTAGCTCTTCAGGTTTTCAGATGTTGAGAGGCTAGCAGAATGTTTGCTACCTTAATCCATGTCAGTCATTCTTTGTTTTTTTCCCATCTGCAGGCCAAATAAGCAGAAATGTGAAGAGGGAACCAAAATATTGAAATAAGCCTTGGGGTTTTGCTTTAATTGTTTTTATTACTTTGAATGACAGTGATCCTTCTTATTCAAATATTTTACTTTCAAGAGGATCCCTTCCATTTGTGGGCCTGAGAAAATTGCTTTCAATTTTTTCCTCAGGCTATGCCTGAAAGAAAGGAGTAAAATGGTGAATTCTTTGTCAAATCATACTTGATTCCTGGCAACATCATGGTCATATATGAAAATGCTTTGAAAATGGTTTTTCTTAGGTCTTTCTTTTGTTTTCAAATTCCCAGGCTAATCTATAGTTTTAAGAGATCCTGGTGGGTCTTCCAGCATCCTACCTTGCTTAGTTTTCAAGGTCAGCCATGATTCATAGAGCCATGGTGGCACAATGGTTAGAATGCAGTACTGCAGGCTACTTCTGCTGACTGCCCTCTGACTGCAATTTGGCAGTTTGAATCTCACCAGGTTCAAGGTTGACTCAGCCTTCCATCCTTCCAAGGTTGGTAAAATGAAGACCCAGATTGTTGGAGCAATATGCTGACTCTGTAAACTGCTTAGAGCCATAAAAGCACTGTCAGGCGGTATATAAGTCTAATTGCTATTGCTACTGTCACTGATTGAGCCAAAAATGACACAAATGAAACTTTTTATTGCTATCTTAATATTTTCTGAGTTTTGTAGCTTCAACTCAATAAAAAGGACCCCAGAGATTATCTAAAGAAGATAATGTTTTTCTTTAAAACATTTATCAATAATGGATCTGATCACTTCAAACTCCTCCATTTCCTTTTAACTTCATTTGATTCATAAATGTTATATAGTTTTAGCTTGCCATATTTCAATTTATTACAGAAAAAAACTTTAAAGTACAAAGATATAGGGGAAGGGAGGCACAAAATGCAATAATGACAACCAGGGTCCTTTTCCCTTTAAAATATCTGCATCTGTAATCTAAATCTGTCAATTTTTTGCTAACATAATTTTTCTCTCTAAAGAATTCTGCCAATTGCTCATTAATTTTATTGCATAGAATAAAGTACCAGCTGCTGACAGTAGGAATCAGACTTGTTCTTTTGGATTTAGTCCTATTAAACTTAGTTTCTTGGTGATGCTATACCAGACAGAAAGAGCTTCAGTACTAACATTTAGGAACAGTAAAACCATGGTCATTGTAACAAGTGGGACAGATATGCAGAAAGACCAGTATATTTCCAAAGTTTGTAGAGAAAGATCTAAGTGGAGGTTAAAAACTGTCCCCCATCCTAAATGATTTAGAGGGGGGGGACACAATAGTGATATTACACATTGTGACCTATTTACACTGGTTATAGAGTCCAATGTGAGAATCCCAGAGATGTTTTTTTTGAAGAAGCAGACTTAAACTTTCTTGTTTTTCTTTGAAGAGGTTTCGCTTCTCATCCAAGAAGCTTCTTCAGCTCTCATGTGAGAAGTGCTAAAACTCATTTACATATCTCTACCCTCTCAATTTGCAAAGTACTCTGTCAATTTTGAGTCATGTTAAAAGGTATCAAAGAGTAGGAATAAAAAAAAACTTATTTAAAATCTAAACAGCCTATATACTTTTTTCTCAGTACATCTTTGTCAAGTGGGTAGCCATGATTTTGGGAGGGAGGGAGGGAGGGAGGGAAGGAAGGAAGGAAGGAAAGAAAGGAAGGAAATGTTATAGTCACTAAATATTGAAAATCCAGTGAAGCTAAAATAACCAAACATCCATATTTATTTCCATCTTATTTATTTTTATAATTTGGAGGCAGCCCCTATGAAACATAGCAATGTTATATACAATAATAATAATAAACAAATGGATGGTTACTTTTAATTGTTTTGGATTATCATCTTCAAATAATCTCATAATAAAAATGCCAATTAAACAAAACTTTGCTTTGAAGTGTTAATAGCACTTTATAATGCCTTGGTAAGACCACACTTGGAATACTGCATTCAGTTTTGGTCACCACAATGTAAAAAAGATGTTGAGACTCTAAAAAGAGTGAAGAGAAGAGCAACAAAGATGATTAGGGGACTGGAGGATAAAACATATGAAGAATGGTTGCAGGAACTGAGTATGTCTAGTTTAATGAAAAAAATGATTAGGGGAGACATGATAGCAGTGTTCCAATATCTCAGGAGCTGCCACAAAGAAAAAGGGAGTCAAGCTATTCTCCATGTAAGAAAGATTCCTTTACAAGCATCAAGAGTAGAGCACTGAATCTTGCTATCATGAGAGTTCTTCTGTATGCAAAGAAACAGATGTATTTACTTGACAGAATAAAGACCTCTGTTTTCCTGGACATATAAAGTTCATTTTCCATCATAGGACTGTGTGCGTGTGTTCATGCATGGTTAGAAAGCATGGGTCACACATGTGTTATGGATACAGAAACATTGTTAACTAGAAACAGGATTTTGATGAGCCAAAAGCACTGGTGAGAACTAAACTGAAATCTCTGGATTCCAGTGGATACAACCTACAATGAACTTTTCTTCTACTTTTGGGAAAGACAGAAATTCCCTGAGATTGAGACATTGTACAAGCTGTACCTTTGCAAAGGACACCATATTCTGTAAAAACTTGCTCTACAAAATATTAATAGAGAGTTGAGAAATGTGGGCCTTCCCATATGCACTGCTGAGGAGATTGGATTTGCTCTGTTATTTTATGCATC